ATCACTAAGCATGGCTATAAAGTACTAGAAAAGAAGATTTTAAAAGGTTTCCCTAGATATTCCTATGTAAAACTTTTATCGGCCATTTGGCCCCACCCTACCGCCGGGGGTCATGATTTGAACAAACTTGAATCTACACTACCTGGGGATGATTCCACAGGAGTTTCATCTTTCCTGTCTCAATAGTTCTTGAGAAGAAGATTTTTTCCTATATATTCCTATGTTAAACTTTGATCGGCCATTTTGGCCCCACCCTACCCCTGGGGGTCATGATTTGAACAAACTTGAATCTACACTACCTGAGGATGATTCCACGTGAGTTTCATCTTTCCTGGCCCAGTGGTTCTTGAGAAGAAGATTTTTTAAAGATTTTTCCTATATATTCCTATGTAAAACTTTGATCGGCCATTTTGGCCCCACCCTACCCCTGGGGGTCATGATTTGAACAAACTTGAATCTACACTACCTGAGGATGATTCCACGTGAGTTTCATCTTTCCTGGCCCAGTGATTCTTGAGAAGAAAATTTTTAAAGATTTTTCCTATATATTCCTATGTAAAACTTTGATCGGCCATTTTGGCCCCACCCTACCCCTGGGGGTCATGATTTGAACAAACTTGAATCTACACTACCTGAGGATGATTCCACATGAGTTTCATCTTTCCTGGTCCAGTGGTTCTTGAGAAGATTTTTAAAGATGTTTCCTATATATTCCTATGTTAAACTTTGATCGGCCATTTTGGCCCCACCCTACCCCTGGGGTCATGATTTGAACAAACTTGAATCTACACTACCTAAGGATGATTCCACGTGAGTTTCATCTTTCCTGGCCCAGTGATTCTTGAGAAGAAGATTTTAAAAATTTTTTCCTATATATTCCTATGTAAAACTTTGATCGGCCATTTTGGCCCCACCCTACCCCTGGGGGTCATGATTTGAACAAACTTGAATCTACACTACCAGAGGATGATTCCACATGAGTTTCATCTTTTCTGGCCCAGTGGTTCTTGAGAAGATTTTCATCTTTTCTGGCCCAGTGGTTCTTGAGAAGATTTTTAAAGATGTTTCCTATATATTCCTATGTAAAACTTTGATCGGCCATTTTGGCCTCACCCTACCCCTGGGGGTCATGATTTGAACAAACTTGAATCTACACTACCTGAGGATGATTCCACATGAGTTTCATCTTTCCTGGCCCAGTGGTTCTTGAGAAGAAGATTTTTTAAAAATGCCATTATTTTTTCTCTAATTCATTATTATCTCCCCTTGGAAAAGGGCGTGGCCCTTCATTTGAACAAACTTGAATCCCTTTTACCCAAGGATACTTTGTAGCAAGTTTGGTTGAAATTGGCCCAGTGGTTCTTGAGAAGAAGATGAAAATGTGAAAAGTTTACGACAACGACAACGACAGACAACGGACAAATTTTGATCAGAAAAGCTCACTTGAGCCTTTGGCTCAGGTGAGCTAAAAAGAAACCAAAAACCCAGAAAGTTGTGGCAAACGATTTCCACAGGTGTTGTATGTGGAAATTAAAACACTTCCAAGAATTTGATAACATTTAAGTGACTATTTATGGTATATGTTTATACGGTGGATTTATGATATCATAACATTTTATACTAAATTCTAATGATAATCTATGGATTTAAAAAAAAAAATAATCAGCATCTTAGTTGCACCAAAGGTTTTCGCAATTTTGTCAATAAAGACAATTCGGCTCTGAAACTTGTGGAGTTAAAAGTACTCACAACTCCGTACTCCAAATTAATACTCGTATTCCAAAGTTAAGATGAGGTTATAAAAAATCATTACACTCGTACTCAAACTTCAGCTGGGTACAAACTCAAGAATTTCCAGGTAAGCTCTAAACCATTTTCAGATTCAATCTCAAGTTTCCTGTGTTACGTAAACAGAAATGGCAGCTCACAAAAGAATTTAGTTCGGCGTTACCTTCAACGACACATGCGTCGGCATTATTCAGGGACCTTTCTGATTCTTTCGAAGATTTAGAAAACAAAGATTTGAGATGTATCGTTTTCTTCCTCAGACCATCATATTATGTTTATTCTTGGACTTCCGCCGAATCTGCTAGATCCGCAACAACTCCTTACAACCTCTGTTGCAGCTGCTGCTATATATGCGGTTTTTAGCCACTGAAGCTATCCACCTGCTCGTCGGGGACCCTATGAATATATCTCGAAGTACGGCTAGTAGACGTTTCAGCAAATTACTAGCTTTCTTTCCCCAAGGTGGCACAGTGGTTAGAGCGTCTGCTCTAGAGTCACAAAGCAAGGAGTTGATCCATACTTCGCTGGTTCGAATCCCACTGTGGGACGTGGAGACCGCTCCTTCGGATGAGACCTTATAACTGAGGTCCCGTGTTGCAGTAGGTGCTGGCACGAAGAGATTCCTCCCTGCTCAATGACCCTAAGTGCCGAGTATCGGACACCATTTGCAGCTCTCCACTGGCAAGTGGTGGCGTCTCCATATGAATTAAAAATTCTCGAGAGGAACGATAAACAGTATAAAATTATTAAACAATCAAACCTGTTTCAGAGATTTATAATTCCCCACTGGAAATGATGCCAAATACATGTTACGCGTTCTTGGTAAGAAAATGATTTGTTGAAGATAACACGTTAGGATCACGCCAAGGTATGATGCAAAAATTCTAATGACCTTATAATGAATAAGAAAAAATAAGAAATAACCATCTTTATAAGCGGAGGTATACGTTTCTTTAATCGAAAAATATGAAGACTTGCACAACGCTTTTAAAATCTAAAATAGAATTCACATTACATATTTTTAAATAAATGTTTTAATCTCTGATAAGGGGATGACCATTTGATTCGGGGGGGGGGGGGGGGGGGCTGGCAGATTTTGGAAATAAATAATCTGTCCCTGAAAATGTTGAAAATAAATAATCTGCAAAGAAAATAAATAATCTGACCTTGACTTATGATATTTAAATATTGTGAAAATCCCTTTTTATTTACGTTCAATTTAACCCCAGAATCTTCAATTCAGCATTTTTTTGGCTCGCTTCGCTCGCCATTTTAGAACCAAATATTTATCAAAGTACTCAGAAGTACAGAGAGCCGGGCTCATTTACAGAGTAGAATGGATTTCTTACATGAATCACGTTTATATTCTGATGAAAAAATTATTTTAAAACTATCAATATAAATGATAAGACACAAGTTTTTCAATCCTAATACCACGGTCCGATTTTGTCAGAATCAGAATTAATCTGGTACCGCGGCGGAATGTAAACAAACAGGCCAGTCTGGTTCCCTCTCCTGCTTTACCTCGTATGTGTAGAGAACTACGGTAACACTTATTATCAAAAATCCTTACGCTAATGAACTATGTTCTTTGACTTATGAAGTTTTCAAAGTCATTACTACAAATGTTTATTTTATATAGATAAAACTTCGTTTTATTTTTGTTGCTTTATTTAGCGTTTGTATTATCTCAAAAGCGGTTGAGAGTAAGAACTATATTTTTGCACGTAACTTTAAAATGGCGACTATGGGGTCAACATCCTGCCTTGAACAGGATCACATAAGCCGGCAATTGCTCTTTGAGCAATAAGCCCGGCTAAAAATCAGATTACCAGACTGGATACTTGTAGTCAGTTGATCAACATAACAATGTGCACTCAGTAGATTTGATGAATCACTTTAAATACAAGCCAATTCTTAAACACCATAAAAGATTAATTTTCTTGTCAAAGAATTATACTTCCCGATAAATTTTTTCAAAGTATACAGTGGCGGATTTAAGGAAGGCATACATGTGTATGACCCCTCCCCTAAAATTTCAAAGTATGATATGAATTATATTAATATTGTCATACTTTAGTACATGTACAATACCAATATTTTTGTGCCTAGTTTTACTCTTAAAATACACAAAAACCCAAGAGCTTCAGGGGGCTTCGCCCCCTTCATTCAAAGTATGATATGACTAGTATTAATTATGTCATACTTTGGAACATAACTAACCAATTCCTACATAATTGTGCCTGGTTTTACTCTTAAAATACACAAAAACCCACGAGCTTCAGGGGGCTTCTCCCCCTGGACCCTTCATTCAAAGTATGATATGATCAATATCAATAATGTCATACTTTGCTACATAATAACCAATACCACTATAATTGTCCTGGTTTTACTCTTAAAATACCCGAAAACCCAAGAGCTTCTAGGGAATTTCCCTCCCTTGGCCTCCACCAGTGCTTCGCCCAGGACCCACTGGGGGCCTTAATGCGGCCCCATACCTCTTGCCTGAACGAAGTTAAACACGCACCCCATCCTGAATCTGCCTATGGTATATAAATGATTACATGTAGTCTTTTAGAATCAATCGATCAAGGTACCGTAAGACAAAGAAGAAAATAAAAATCTGTCCTCGATAATCTTGAAAATAAATAATCTGTCCTTGACAAGCATGAAAATAAATAATCCGTCTCAAAAAAATTTGCCAGCCCCCCCCCCCTTCTCAGAATCAAATGGTCGTCCCCTAAACTTAATATTTTTTTTACTCTGGTTCGAGAAGATTGAAGAGGAATTGAGGTACGACAGACAAATCAGCAGTCAACATTTTTTTGAAGACGCAGCTTTTTACAATTTCTTTCGATAAAAATTAAAGTATGGCCTTGTTATATTCTTTCCATCAGACTTCCAGACAATACACATTGGTTATATAAATTTTTTAATCAAATTACATGAAAAGAATTGTAGAAAACAGTATCCCGAATACCACTGTGACCGTTGATATGATCACATGGCAGCAGAATTCTCCGGTTTTGGAGAAGTTATCAATACTGCATCGTCGCAAGCCAATGGTTTTGTGTCCATTCTATTTCCACAAACCCGTGGCTGCGTGAGGCAAAATTTTCTCGTTTCTCGAGTTTAGTTCATGAATATTTATTACGTGACGTAATACATTGATATCCAATGAAAACGACGTTTAGCGAGGTTGGAAACTTTTAATGGCGACGTCCTTAGGCAAACCATGTGAAATATGTCTTAAACCAATAACTGATATAAAATACTACCGATCACTGGGAACAGAGGCAAGCAAAGTTTATAGTGCATTGTTGGACGAATTAAACATAGATCGAAAAGGATACGCCTGTAAATTTTGTGTAAATAAACTTAACAGGTTGATTCGTTTGGACGAGGAAATTCGGACGAAGTTGGACGTTTTAAAACAGAAGAGGGGAGAAATATTTGATGATCTGAAAAAGGTAACATGTAACAGACCAAGTTCTTCGGTAGCCAGTTCTTCGAGTGCTAGGCCTAACTCATCTTTGCAAACACCCGTTAAAAAAAATTCCAAACGAGAGTACAAAATAATATCCAAGACTCCGACACCTAGGAAATTTAAAGCAAGGCGAATATTACCGCTCGCCTCACCATGTTCTAAAGAAGTCAAAGAACGGGATACTTATCACGCTGAGCCAACAGCAAGAAAGTCTACAACGGTTGACAGTTCAACTCAGACTAAAACCACTGAAGAGAAGGACTTTGCTGTGAAGGTGAGATTTTACTATGTTGTAATATAAACAAGTCCAGTCCAAAGACTATTTCTCCATACATATGACGTACATGACGTAGATATTAAGTTTTAAAACCTACCCAAAGTAACTATTTTTACCTTAGTACTTTCTGCTTTACTGGTATTTGTGGCCCAATGCGGGGATGGTGCAACATGGTGAGCACTGAATTTCTTGATACAGTCACACTGATGATGGATATGACAAAAATTTGGCCAAAAATTATTGCCTAGCTATATCTAGTGATTGTTACTGACTAACACAAGATGACACTTCTTAAAATTGATTCTTTAAGTACAGTATATGGCTTATCTCCTGATATATTTATAGTTCTAGCCCACAATTTCCAGCAAAAATATTACTGTATTTTTTTTATTGTTGGCTGTGTTTTTGTCAATTTTTTATGTTTTTTTTTTTCAGATTATTGTCAAGTATGGAAGCAACTACAGATCCCGTATTATTAACAGCGAGGTTCAGAAATCCGTGTGCAAGGCAATACTGAACAACAGGAATCCTGCTACATATATCAAGTCTCTTACAAAAGATGACCAATTCAAATCTGCTTTGCTTGATTGTTTATGTAAAGAAATTAGAAAAGAGGTGTGCAGCTTGTGTAGAAAAGACGAAACTTTATTGAAGTATGATAACAATATCAAGTGGAGAAACATTTTAAGTGAACTTGTTTTGAAAGCACCATCTATAGTGAGAATTTTTCAAAGCATTGTCAGTAAAGACGTAAAAAAGTCCTCAAGTCAATACACCAACAATCTGTGCACAGCACTTTCTATATTGCTATATGGTAGAAACCACCAGCTATCACAGATTCAGTATGTCGTCGGTTTTGTTCTTGATCAGTGTGGAGCCACCAAAGAGGTATAAGACAAACAAAAATAATTTAATTGCATTTGATTTGCAGTTTAAACCAGTTTTTCATATTATCTCTGTAAATATTATAAATTTCAAATTTTTACTACCGGGTATTACTTCATTTGCTGAATATTTAAAATTAACATGCTGGCATCAAATAGGATAGATTCAAGATTGTTCAAAATCACATCCTCTTGCAATGGGAGCAGGGATATACAATAGCAGATAAACGCTTTATATTAAAGAATTCTTTTAAATGACACACAGCAAGGCCAAGGCAATGTAGGTAAATGTTGTGGCCCAGGGGTTTCTTGTTTAATTTTAATTTCAATTTACATGTAATTAGATTGCTTTATTGAATACCATATTGTGGATATTTTAGTGGAATAATATTGAATGATATTGAACTTTGACTTATTTTTACAGATTTATAGCAACCTGCTGAAATTATAAGAGCCAAATTTGCAATCTTATAATTATCACTACTGAATACAAAAAAAATCACTTAAATAATTTTGATGTGTAGTGCTTCTTCATGAGCAATATATAAACTTTCATTGGTATGGTGTCTACTAAAACATTTTGGTAAATCGGTTTTCATCCGTTTTTTTAAATATACTAAAACTTTTCTTTTGCAATGTCACATAACTCTGTATCTGCCAAAAGAGCATACCCTTTAGCTATAAAAAACGCAAAATTTTACACACCCGCCAAAGAAACGTGTTATACTTTAAGTGCAGTTTTAAAGAAGATTTGACTGAAAAAATTATGATAAAGTTATCTGTATGTCTATGTTGTAGGCTATATCCATTTTGCATGACATGGGTGTTAGTGTTACTCAGTCAACTATTCACAAGAAGAAGAGGGTATTGGTCAAACAACAAGAAGATAAAATAAAAGAGACAGCCAAAGCATACACAGAGCAAAGGAAACTTATTCTTCTTGGAGAAGCAGTCATTAATAGTGACTCTCAAAGGAAGGAAGAAGTTTTACCTAGTGTTTATAATACCAGTAATTATGCTGACTTAGACATTTTATCAGCTAAATCAAAGTTGCACATTCTTTCAAATGGTTGTGGAGCCACATATTCAGGGTGTGAAACAACAGCATTGTACGATTCATGCTTGGAGCAATACAGTACATGTACTGCAAATACTCCCGTTACATTTTTAACTGAGAGTAAGAAGTATTATTCCAGCACTGACAATTCTGTGAAGCATTGTGAAATATCCATTGACAGTTCTTGCATTATACCCACTGGAACTTTTTCTTCAGAAATATATCGATATTCTACAGCATCACACGAAAAATCAATGGAGAGACTTAAGAAGGAAGTCAACAAAGCGAAACAAAACCCGGTAAAGGCAATAGAAGTACTTGGAGATAACTTGGACCTACTTGTAAGTCCAGGAGACATGACATCAGATCGGCAGAGAAAAAGCTGGCACTGGTTCTTGGTATTATTAACCCAGAAAAGAATTACAGCCCCAGATTTGCCATCTTCTGGAAAAGTAGCAGATATTCTTCATCTTGAAGCTTCAAGCTGGTTACCATCTAATGAAGAAATCCTTAGATATCGTCATGATTTGCAGATACATGTTGCCAAGATTTTAGTAAAAAACTTTGCTGCTTTAAAGCATTTGGACAAAGTATTACCCAAGTACATCCCTCATGAGTATGTAGAAATTACCAAACAAAAGACTGTGTTCTATAATTCCGACCTAATCGATGCAAGTGAAAATTCAACTGAGGGCATGATTCACATACTGCAGAAAGTACACGACCTTGTTGTACCCCATTGTGTTGTAGATTCAAAAGAGGTTTGTGAACCTGTAGTCTTTGGAGGTGATGTACTTACAAATGAACGCGCTTATGGTGCACAGATGGCAATGTTCAACAACAAATCCGAGTTCAAGAATTTATTGGGTGTAATACATAGACCAGAGGGCCTACACAGACAGATGAATTTTCTCCTGGTGACATTAATGCCCTTGCATGGAGTTCAGTTACAGTTCATGTTGATTTTTTGATTTCATGTTGTAAGTTTATTATTATTATTATTATTATTATTATCATTATTGTTATCATAAAGGATTCTCAGAGTCTTCTAAAATATTACTAGTTCTATATTCTGGTCTAAAATGTTTATTTTAATATTTTCCTTTTTATTTTATGGACTTTATGGTTATAAATATATTTTTCCTAATTGGTTAAATAAGCTTAATTCAAAAATTATATTTTAGTGTGTTTAACAACCCTTTCAACATGTATACAACAAATTATGACAATGGGAATCCTGAAGGATAAATAACACAAACAAATTTTTAAATATGTCGCTCTCTCATTAAAGAAGTGAAATATCTGTAAGCTGATTAGTTAAGCAGCTGGATTTGACCATTTATAGCTTCATAAATTGATTAAAAATGAGTAACTTTTAAATATACTCTTTGAAAAGTTATAGAAATATTTAATGTTTTGGAGTTTCATCAAGTTTATGGAAACAATTTCAAAAATTTCATTTTATTATTTTTTTTTTGGGGGGGGGTTCATTATTAAATTTCCTAAATAAAATTTTGTTGAAATAAACAATTAAGA